TTCCTTCCATTTTCCACAGCATCTTTGTCTTCTCTAAGCTTTCCTTTCTTCTCATGATGTGGCCAAAGCACTTCATCTTGGCCTCTACTATCCTTCCCTCCAATGAGCAGTCGGGCTTTATTTACTGAAGTATGGACTGATTGGATCTTCTTGCGGTCTCAGAATTTTCCTCCAACACCATAGTTCAAAAGCATCTATCTTCCTTCACTAAGCCTTCCTTATGGTTCAGCTCTTGCATCCATAGGTTACTATGGGGAATAGCATTGCTTTAACTATGCGGATCTTCGTTGCCAGCGTGATGTCTCTACTCTTCACTATTTAATCGAGATTGGTCATTGCTCTCCTCCCAAAAAGTAAACGTCTTCTGATTTCCTGGCTGCAGTCATCTTTGTACGGTTGCCATAATCTTGGGTTTCTCTGTCTGTTTCTCTATCTTTCTATCCTTCTATCTTTCTTTCTATCTATCTTTCTATCTTTCTTTCTTTCTTTTGATGTTTAACTGCAACCCAGCTTTTGCGCTTTCTTCTTTCACCTTGATTAGAAGGCTCCTCAGCTCCTCCTCGCTTTTGGCCATCAAAGTCGTATCATCTGCATATCTAAGGTTGTTAATGTTTCTTCCAGCAATTTTCACCCCAGCCTTGCAGTCGTCAAGACCCACACATCGCATGATGTGTTCTGCATACAAGTTGAATAGGTTGGGTGAGAGTAGACAGCCCTGCCGTACTCCTTTCCCAGTCTGTTGTTCTTACTGTTGCTACTTGGTCAATATACAGATTCCTTAGGAGACAGACAAGGCGATTTGGTATCCCCATACCACCAAGAACTTGCCACAGGTGTTTATGTTTGAATAAAGTTAAATCGAGTCAGACATTCATAGTCAAAGCATAACTGGCAAGTATTTTTTGAAAAACATGCCCCATCCACATCCAAAATGCATTATCTGCAATCAGGTGAAGAAAAGCTTCAGACCCAGCTTCTCCAGAGGAGGATGAGAAGCCCTTTAAGCAAAGCTTCTGGGAAGAGAACCAAAGCTGTAGCCTTTCCTTTTCTTTGGCAGGGAGTACTGTTGTCTCACCAAAGTACAACTTGCAGGCTTAGGTTTGATATCCCTTGATCTGCCATGGCTCAGTGTTACTTTCACATGGTCTTTAGCCTTCTTTGTCTTTGGAGAAGCACCAGCAGAAAAGACTAAAGACCTTGAGAACTACAACTTGAAGAGAGATATTGACAAGCTGGAATGTGTCCAGAGGAGGACGACTAAAATGATCAAGGGTCTGGAGAACAAGCCCTATGAGGAGCGGCTTAAAGAGCTGGGCATGTTTAGCCTGAAGAAGAGAAGGCCAAGAAGAGACATGATGAGGGCCATGTAATATGTGAGAGGAAGTCACAGGGAGGAGGGAGCAAGCTTGTTTTCTGCTGCCCTAGAGACTAGGATGCGGAACAATGGCTTCAAACTACAAGAAAGGAGATTCCATCTGAACATTAGTAAGAACTTCCTGACTATGAGAGCCGTTCAGCAGTGGAACTCTCTGCCCCTGAGTATGGTGGAGGTTCCTTCTTTGGAAGCTTTTAAACAGAAGCTGGATGGCCATCTGTCAGGGGTGCTTTGAATGCAATATTCCTACTTCTTGGCAGGGGGTTGGACTGGATGGCCCATGAGATCTCTTCCAACTCTATGATTCTATAATTCTATGAACTTCCAGGATTTGAAAGCATTGAGCCATGGCACTCTTTGGTAGAGTAGTGCTGTCAAACTGCATAGATACTATGGTATAGATGCAATTTTACAGCTGTGGAGAGAGATCCCACATAGAAAGGATTAATTTGCAACCTCCCCTATTCCCTGCCTCTTCCCAATAATAATGGCAAGGAAAAGATTAGGAGGAGTCTTCTTATGGCAATGTGATAAATCAGACACACATTTTAAAAAAATATCATGCCAGAAGTGACTCGAGAAACTGCAAGTTGCTTCCGGTGTGAGAGAATTGGCCTTCTGCAAGGACGTTTCCCAGGGGACGCCTGGATGTTTTACTATCCTGTGGGAGGCTTCTCTCATGTCGCCGCATAGGAAGATGGAGCTGACAAATGAGAGCTCACCCCATTTTAAAAATTGTATAATAAAATGGGAGTGTGATGTGGAGAGCACTCATTCAGCAAGTGTGGAATTTATTGGACCTGATGTTGCTRACAGAGTTTGTCCTCCAGCAAAATCAGGATYGTTGAAATCTCTCATTACTACACCTTTCTTTTCTCTTCTGTTTCAGGAAGGCATAATCCAAGGCCTGAGTTTTGCCTGGGGGGGGGGGGGTCAAATTTTACCCAGATGGCTCACAGTGCGGCTTCCAAGATTTAAGTCATGGCTCTCTTCACAGGTGTAAACATCCTAGACATATAATGCTACCCCTCCTCCTTTAATGTTTGGTCCAGTTCTCAGAAATAGTAGGGTATACCCTTCTATTACCTCCCTACATTCCATTTGTGAGACTAGGAAACCCCAGTGGCGCAGTGGGTTAAACCCCTGTGCCAGCAGGACTGAAGACTGACAGGTCGCAGGTTCGAATCCGGGGAGAGGCGGATGAGCTCCCTCTATCAACTTCAGCTTCTCAAGTGGGGACATGAGAGAAGCCTCCCACAAAGATGATAAAAATATCAAATCATCCGGGCATCCCCTGGGCAACGTCCTTGCAGATGGCCAATTCTCTCACACCAGAAGCGACTTGCAGTTTCTCAAGTAGCTCCTAAGATGACAAAAACAATGTGGGACTAACCCCACCAGGTTTTAGTGATGTCTATTATACATATTGGCTTCACTGTGTTAAGAGTTCAAGTTCATCTTTTGTATTTCTCATGCTCTGTGCATTAATGGAGAACAGAATGGGCCATTCCCCGAGCTGCTGATTTTTCCCCATCTACTGCTGAATAGGCTTGGGCAATTTCGTTCGTTAATTTCGTAATTCGTTATTAATTCATATTTAAATTAGCTTACGATCCAATATTGAGCCATGCAGAAATAGTGTGAGGAGTAATTAAGATTCGAAACAATTTTTTCAACTTATTTCGTAATTATTTCGAAATTATTTCGTAATTATTTCGTAATTATTTTCGCATGTCTGGTGCAAGTTTTATAGTTGTTGTTTGTTTTATCACACAACAGTCAACAACAGAGGGAGAGGGAAGCTTCAGAAGTTCCTCCTGTCCCATTTGGAGGTTTTTTTTAGCATATTGCGCAATCTCGTCCGCCATTAACGAATCGATTCGTAATTTTACGAAATTTCGTAAATTTTGAAATTTTTTAAAGGAAAAATTCGGAATTATTAAAAAAAACGAAACGCAAGGGCCCCCTAAAAACAAAACGAGTTTAGAACCAAATTTTTCCATGGTTACCCAAGCCTACTGCTGAATTATTGTACTATTTGCCCAGAGAATCCTGGAATTTGCAATCTAGCGAGGCACTAGAGTTCTTTGGCTGAGAATATAAATGCCCCTCCTTAGGATTCCCTGGTAGTTAAGGGTTTTGTTTTTTTTCATATCAGGAGTGACTTGAGAAAGTGCAGGTCGCTTCTGGTGTGAGAGAATTGGCCGTCTGCAAGGACGTTGCCCAGGGGACGCCTGGATGTTTTGATGTTTTACCATTCTTGTAGGAGGCTTCTCTCATGTCCCTGCACGGGGAGCTGGAGCTGACAGAAGGAGCTCATCTATGCTCTCCCCAGATTCGAACCTGTGACCTGTTGGTCTTCAGTCCTGCCAGCACAAGGGTTTAATCCAGTGGCTCTCAACCTGGGGGTCCCCAGATGTTTTTGGCCTCCAACTCCCAGAAATCCTAACAGCTGGTAAACTGACTGGGATTTCTGGGAGTTGTAAGCCAGAAACATCTGGGGACCCCAGGTTGAAAACCACTGGTTCAATCCATTGCACCACCGGAGGCTCCTGTGTTTAAAGGTGAATCAAAAAGCTATGCTAATGTAGTGCTAAAGGACTCCAGGTATCATTCCCTTGATGTATTTTTACCTATCTATTGCTGTGAAGAGCCAGTTTGTGACTTCTTGACTTTATTAGTTGCTGTAGCCAAATTCAGAATGTATTGGACATACGCAGATTAATGAACACATGCATTTTATTCATTTCTACCAGTGCTAAGTAGCTCCAAGATTTCTGTTTCTGTTTCTGTAAGAGAGGAAAAATAAAGATTAGAAATTTTCAGAGCCTGACTTCTAAAGGTTAAGGAAGGTATTATTATTATTATTATTATTATTATTATTATTATTTACAGCATTTATATTCCGCCCTTCTCACCCCGCAAGGGACTCAGGGCGGATTACAATGTACACATATATGGCAAACATTCAATGCCAAAGACACACAACAGATATAGACAGACAGTCAGAGGCTATTTAACTTTTCTGGCCACCAGGGGAGCGGTTGCTTTCATCGTCCATCTGAGACACTGATGAAGTACTTCCACATTCCCCGCATGCTTTGCTGAAGTCTTTTTTATGGCCTCGTAAATTAGTTAAATTAGCCTCCCCACACATAGGTGGTACCTAATTTTCCCACTTGACAGATGCAACTGTCTTTCAGGTTGCAAAGGTTGACAACAAGCTACACAATTGGTCGGAAGCTCACTCCGACCCAGGCTGGCTTCGAACTCATGACGTTATGGTCAGAAGTGATCTTAATGCAGTTGACACTCAGACAGCTGTGCCACAGTCCCGGTGCTTTGATACAAAGAACAAGACAAACAGAAACTGGAGCACAGTCAGTGAAATCCACAATATGCCCAAACAATTAGTACTTGATTTTAAAAGCCTGACACATTTTGGACTGTGTATATCAGAGGTTCCCAACCTTTTTTTGATCAGGCATCACTTGACCAGGGACCACTCTCCAACATTAGTACCAAAAAGGGGTTACGATTCATTTTGTGCAAGATGTCCCAAGAATATTTCCCCCCATTTAAGCAGCATTAAGAAAGCAATGTCTGTCTCACCTTCCACCAGGACTCATACTCTCAGTTCTCCCTTTGCAGCAGGTTTTCTCCCTCTGGTTGCCTTTTTTCCCTGTATGAAAAAAATTAACCCCAATTGTAATAGAAAAGACATTTCCAATTTTTTAAAAAAAGAAATGGAGAAAAAGTTAAGGAGAAAAAAATAGACAAAATAGGGGATTGGATAAAGGTCGGAATGAAGAAGGAAACAATTATGGAAGAATTTAGAGAAATAAAATTGACATGGTTCCATTGTATACAATTAGAACAATGGTTTAAAAATTGGGGGGGGGTTAATAAAAATGGAGCTTAACCAATTTGAACAAATAATACAAAATTGAAGGGTTTGAAAATTTGAAAGGAATAACTAGTAAAGTATATAAGATAATAACACTGTTCAACGGAGAAAAAGTTGCGGGCCAGAAAATAGTTGTTCTTTTATGATTTTGGGGTGCTGAAAATGACATTTAAAAATGTATATTGGCTCTAGTTTTTATGATATGAGCAATCACGTGATGACGTATGGTTGAAAAAATGCATGTTGCGACTTACAGTATGGAAGATTTTAGAATATTCTAGAAAGTTTGATGACGCAGTATTAGTGCCGTGTGCAAAAGCCAGAAAGCCCTATATAAGGCCAGACTTTTGAACGGTGAGGGTCAGTCAGTTGAAGACTGAGACAGTATCGTTAAACATCGTTTTACATTGTTCTTTTTACTGTAGTTATGCCTCGCACGTGTGTAAATAAAGCACTATGGGAAAAAGATATCAAGGCAAATGGACTCCGTCAATGCTGTCAGACTACTGCTGGAGCATTGTAAGAGACAATCCTTTCCTTGAATACAAAAGAAAAGTCAAGAGAAGCAAACAGGATATAAACTAAAGTCACGATTAAAGCGACATTTAAACTTTCAGACTTTTCAACTGCATTAGGCCTACTAATATAGTTTCTTGCTGCACAAACATAAACAATAGACTAATTAAATAAATATTTCTCATGTATAAACTATTGGCAATATAATTTGACTAAAATTTAGTAAATATTCACGGTTTATATACATGCAGTAAGGTTAGGCGCATTATCATAATATTAACGAATTACCTATTGTGGAGAAAACTGAAATAGCTGTTGCATAAAAACCAGAGCCAATTAACACATTTAATTATTATATTTGAATTCAGCATGTTAAATTTATTAAGAAACGGCACATTTCGTTTCCGCAACTGAGAAAAACTGAAAATTTGTAGAACATATAATTGAAATAAAGAAAGGAAAAACAAAAAACAACACCCTCAAGGAGGTCTGGGAAGAAGATTTAGGGATAAAAATAAAATGAAACAGAATGGCAACAATTATGGAGACAAAGATATCTAAAAATTTATCAATATGGGTTAAAGAAAATTATTATAAGTTGATATGGAAATGATACCTAAAACCAGTAAGAATAGCAAATATAAATGAAAACTAAAAATTGCTGGAGAGGATGTCAAGAATCAGGAACATATATACATATGTGGTGGCAATGTAAATATGTAAATATTTACAGTGCCACCAAATACTTTGGTGGCAATGTACTCTAAGTACTTTTGGGGGAAAGTATTTAGAGAAATAGAAGATATAATGAACATTAAAATAGAAAAAAGTCCTAGTACAGCTTTATTATCATTATATAATAATAAACAATTGAAAAAAGAGGATAAAGATGTGATAACACATTTATTAACAATAGCGATACTGTTTATAGCAAGGAATTGGAAAAGAGAAATAAATATACAAATAGAGGAGTGGTACAAGGAAGTATGGAAATTGGCAATAAATGATAAGTTGACATGTATATTAAAAGTTAAAGGTGGTATATGGAAACAAAGTGATTTTGATGATGTGTGGAGAAAATTTATTGAAAAGGGATTAAAAATAAAGAAGAATTGAAATTTTGGACAGATGATATATAAACGCTGTGGTTTCGGAGGGGGGAGGGGAGCACAGTGGTGAGGGATAGATAATATGTATAAGCAGAAAAATAACACTAGATGCCAAAAGTTATAGTATGGTAGGTTGTATTGAATAATATGTATCTACTGCAAAACAAACAATGTATAACAAATGTATTGATCCATGATAAAATAATAAAAATATTTTAAAAAATGAACCGATGCATTAATAATGATAATAAAGCATTTTGCTTGAGGGAAAAGAAAAAAGAAAAAAATAAGGTATTCACTATTTTGTGTACTGTTTTTAATCTTTGCTTTTAAATCGGGATTTTAAATTATTTTAATTTTATATGCAGTTTAACTTCTCTCAGTTCTTGTGGGTTTTTTCGGGCTATAGGGCCATGTTCTAGAGGCATTTCTCCTGACGTTTCGCCTGCATCTATGGCAAGCATCCTCAGAGGTGAGGTCTGCTGGAACTGGGGAAAAAGGGGTTTATATATCTGTGGAATGACCAGGGTGAGACAAAGGGCTTTTGTAAGTTGGGCTAGGTGTGAATCTTTCAACTTACAAAAGCCCTTTGTCTCACCCTGGTCATTCCACAGATATATAAACCCCTTTTTTCCCAGTTCCAGCAGACCTCACCTCTGAGGATGCTTGCCATAGATGCAGGCAAAACGTCAGGAGAAATGCCTCTAGAACATGGCCATATAGCCCGAAAAAACCCACAAGAACTGAGTGATTCCAGCCATGAAAGCCTTCGACAATAAGTTTAACTTCTTGTATCTACATGCCTTTGTGTTTGTATATATTTCTGTCTTGTAAGCAGTCTTAAAATTCAGCTTTGAGAAGAAAGCCGAGTATAAATAAAGGCAGATTATACAAAGAATAAAATAGAATAGAAAGACTTAGGCATATCAATAGTATAAGCCTATTGATGTTGCCAATACTCCTAACCTACCAAAGAATCCAGAGTATTGTTGCTTTGGAAAAATGCTCCAAAATCCTACTACTTTCATGCTGCTTATCTGCTTTATTCAGAAATTCTGATGTGCCCTTGATGGGTTAATTTTTGGTACATCATCTCTCCCCGTTGACTATGCTGCTTGGTTTTGCAATCCAACAACACCTGTAATTCCACATGATTCATGAGATGGAGTGGATTACTATCTATTCCAGTGGTTCTCAACCTGGGGGTCGGGACCCCTGAGGGGGTCGCAAAGGGGTGTTAGAGGGATCGCCAAACAGTATCAGAAAACGCAGTATGTTGTGTTGGTCATGGGGGTTCTGAGTGGGAAGTTTGGCCCAATTCTATCATTGATGGGGTTCAGAATGCTCTTTGATGGTAGGTGAACTATAAATCCCAGCAACTACAATTCCCAAATGTCAAGATCTATTTTCCCCAAATGCCACATTTGGGCATATTGTGGATTGTGTCAAGTTTGGTCCAGATCCATCATTGTTTGAGTCCACAGTGTTCTCTGGATCTAGGTGAACTACAACTCCCAAACTCAAGGTCAGTACCCACCAAACCCTTCCAGTATTTCCTGTTGGTCGTGGGACTTCTGTGTGCCAAGTTTGGTTAAATTCCATCGTTGGTGGAGTTCAGAATGCTCTTTGATTTTAGGTGAACTATAAATCCCAGCAACTACAACTCCCAATTGACAAAATCAACCCCTCACCCAACCCCACTAGTATTCAAATTTGGGTGTATTGGGTATTTGTGCCAAATTTGATCCAGTGAATGAAAATACATCCTGTATATTGGATATTTACATTACAATTCGTAATAGTAGCAAATTTACAGTTATGAAGCAACAACGAAAATAGTATTGTGGTTGGGGGTCACCACAACATGAGGATCTGTATTAAGGGGTCGTGGCATTAGGAAGGTTGAGAAACACTGATCTATGCTATTTGGCCCACTACTAGAGCAACCAGAAGCTCATAAAAACTGCAGAGATATGCAGTTTTATGGGTACTTCCTTCAACAAGATTCTGCTCCACCAGAACATCAGTCAGAGTAAGTCTGACCCACAGGAAAAGTTCTAGATTGGCCCGCATCACATTGGGATAAATGAACCCTTCCTTGCAGATCTGAATTTTGTCTGTTCAAAACCAAACTGAAGCAAGATTCTCATCCAATCAGTACCACAAGGTTTTTTATTTATTGGCCCAAAGTTCTTCAGAGTCCTCTCTGTTGTCAGCCCAAAATGCTTATCAGACCCTGTGTTTCTCTTTGAACTCCTGTAGCTCAGTAGTTCCCAACCTTTTTTGACCAGGGACCACTTCAAATCAAATCATTTATTTCGGTCATAGACCAGCACAACCAGGGTCCACTTGAACAGAGACCACTTTGACCAGGGAACACTCTCCAACATCAGTACCAAAAGAATTATGAATCGATGTATTGTCAAAGGCTTTCATGGCCGGGATCACTGGGTTGTTGTAGGTTTTTCCAGGTATATGGCCATGTTCTGGAGGCAATTTTTCTCCTGACGTTTCGCCTGCATCTATGGCAAGCATCCTCAGAGGTAGTGAGGTCTGTTGGAAGTAGGAAAAATGGGTTTATATATCTGTGGAATGACCAGGGTAATGTTTCAGCTGATCACCTTGATTTGCATTCAATGGCCTGGAAGCGCCTGGGGGGAATCTCTTGTTGAGAGTGATTTTATGTGCCTGTTTGTTTCCCCTCTGTTGTTTTGCTGTTGTAATTTTTGAGTTTTTTAATACTGGTAGCCAGATGCAGCTGTGGACAAGTCTACATAGGGACCACCAAACGCAGCGCCCAGACACGCATCAAGGAACATGAAAGGAACTGCAAACTACTCCAACCAGAGAAGTCAGCCGTAGCAGAGCACCTGATGAACCAACCTGGACACAGCATTTTATTTGAGAACACAGAAATGCTGGACCACTCTCACAACCACCATGTCAGACTACACAGAGAAGCCATTGAAATCCACTAGCATGTGGACAATTTCAACAGAGACCATGAAGATGAACAAAATCTGGCTTCCAGTATTAAAAAAAACCTCAAAACTTACAACAGCAAAACAACAGAGGGGAAACAAACAGGCACATAAAATCACTCTCAACAAGAGATTCCCCCCAGGCGCTTCCAGGCCATTGAATGCAAATCAAGGTGATCAGCTGAAACATTACCCTGGTCATTCCACAGATATATAAACCCATTTTTCCTACTTCCAACAGACCTCACTACCTCTGAGGATGCTTGCCATAGATGCAGGCGAAACGTCAGGAGAAAAATTGCCTCCAGAACATGGCCATATAGCCCGGAAAAACCTACAACAACCCAATTAATTTTGGTCAACTTTAGATTCCATTTGGTTATTTGGGGTGCCGATTCAGAAAATTGTATTGGATAGACCACATCAGCTATAGTTTCTGATACAGAACATATGTCATCTAGTAGTCGTCATCTGTTCACCCACAGAAAACCATTTATATAAATAAAAATGTAATGTTAGTTTGTGGGATTAACAAAACTCAAAAACCACTGGACGAAATGACATGAAATTTGGACACTATACCCCTAACAGACCAACGAGTGACCATCACTCATAACCCCTTCCCAAAAAAAGCAACAGTGGAAAGGACTTAAAAACCCCAAAGAGCTAAATGATGTAAATCTAAATGACGATACAGAAAAAAGGGAAGGAAGGGGAGAAAGAAAGAAAGAAAGAAAGAAAGAAAGAAAGAAAGAAAGAAAGAAAGAAAGAAAGAAAGAAAGAAAATACTAATACTAATAATAATAACTCATCTTTCTACCGATGAGTGTACCCTTACCTGTGGTTTCTCCTGAACAGGCAGCTCTTTCTCTTTCTTGGCTGTGGAAATACGTTTAGTAGCTGCCTTCTTTGTAGATTTGACAGGAGAGTCTTCCTTGGAAGATTCCTCCATCTTTTCCTCCTCTTCCTCCTCCTCCTCCTCTTCCTCATTCGATTGCAAGTCTGAGGTAAGACAGTGGCCTCATGAAACTCTATGACTAGGTACTCTGTTCCTTCAAAAACCCAGTTTTTTCTCACAAAATCATCTGAACTGAACCAAATGAGTAAAGTAGAGGGTGGAAGGGTGCACCACTGTTACAGGTATAGGTTGAGTACTTGTTATCCAAAAGGCTTGGGACAAGAATGGTTTGGGACACTGGTTTTAGGGAGGGGGGGTTGGTGAGAGGGAGATACCTGTATCTGCATATATATGAGATATCTTGGTGATGGGACCCTAGGCTAAATCTATGTAAGTTTCATATCTGCCTTTGTATACATAGCTTGAAATTAAATTGCATACATCCTATTTTAATAATTTTGTGCCTGAATCAATTTATTTATTGGCTGATTGGTGTAACATTAGAAAGATACAGAATGGGGGACAATGCCTGGCTCGAGAGCAGTAAGTGTGAAAAAGATCTTGGAGTCCTCGTGGACAACTAGTTAAACATGAGCCAACAATGTGATGTGGCAAAAAAAGCCAATGGGATTTTGGCCTGCATCAATAGGAGCATAGTGTCTAGATCTAGGGAAGTCATGCTGACCCCTCTATTCTGCTTTGGTTAGACCACACCTGGAATATTGTGTCCAATTCTGGGCACCACAATTCAAGAGAGATATTGACAAGCTGGAATGTGTCCAGAGGAGGGCGACTAAAATGATCCTGGGTCTGGAGAACAAGCCCTATGAGGAGTGGCTTAAGGAGCTGGGCATGTTTAGCCTGAAGAAGAGAAGGCTGAGAGGAGATATGATAGCCACGTATAAATATGTGAGAGGAAGCCACAGGGAGGAGGGAGCAAGCTTGTTTTCTGCTTCCTTGGAGACTAGGACGCGGAACAATGGCTTCAAACTACAAGAGAGGAGATTCCATCTGAACATTAGGAAGAACTTCCTGACTGTGAGAGCTGTTCAGCAGTGGAACTCTCTGCCCTGGAGTGTGGTGGAGGCTCCTTCTTTGGAAGCTTTTAAACAGAGGCTGGATGGCCATCTGTCAGGGGTGATTTGAATACAATATTCCTGCTTCTTCGCAGGAGGTTGGACTGGATGGCCCATGAGGTCTCTTCCAACTCTTTGATTCTATGATTCTATGACTGATTTTTAGTTTTATCTCACTTTTCTCTCTTATGTGGGATTCAAAGTGGTATACAATGATATTCAGAAGAAGACCTATAAGCCACTCTAAACACCTTCGCAGATGCATACAAGAAGCTCGGCCTGTCATTGAACATTGAGAAAACCAAAGTACTCTTCCTGCAGTCACCAGCCAATCCCTCTCCAATGCCAGAGTCACAGCTTAATGGTGTAATATTAAAAAATGTTGACCATTTCTGCTACCATGGCAGCCACCTCTCCTCAAAAGTCAACACTGATACTGAAATACAACACCGCCTGAGCTCTGCGAGTGCAGCATTTTTCCGAATTAAGCAGAGAGTGTTTGAGGAGCGGGACATCTGTAGGGATACCAAGGTGCTTATTTATAAAGCTATTGTCCTCTCAACCTTGCTATACGCCTGCGAGACGTGGATTACCTACAGACGTCACATGCAACTCCTAGAACAATTCCATCAGTATTGCCTCTGAAAATCCTGCAAATCTCATGGGAAGACAAACAGACAAATGTCAGCATGTTGGAAGAAGCAAAGACCACCAGCACTGAAGCGATGGTCCTCCGCCATCAACTCCGCTGCACCGGCCATGTTGTCCGAATGTCTGACCACCGTCTCCCAAAGCAGTTGCTCTACTCCGAACTCAAGAACAGAAAACGGAATGTTGGTGGACAGGAAAAGAGATTGAAAGATGGGCTCAAACCCAGCCTTAAAAACTCTCGGCACATTTATCCATGTATGGTGGAAATGTAAAAAAACCAAAGCCTTTTGGAGGGAAATCCACAAGAAAATGGAACATATCTTACAAATAAATTTTGACGTCAAACCGGAATATTTCCTTTTAGATTTAACTGATTTTGAAATGGATCATAATACAAATAAGTTATTTATATACCTTACAACAGCAGCCAGGCTTAAATTTGCACAGCTATGGAAAACAAAGGATCTGCCAACTATGGAGACCTGGCTAGTGAAGATCTGGGACATTATGAACATGGACTTAATCACTCAAAGAATTGCTGATAATAATCTAAAGAGACAAAAAACCAACTGGGAAAAATTCACGGACTATATTAAGAGCTAAAACTTAGAAATGAACTGGCAATAAGAAGAGAAATAAAGGCAAAATAAGAGTTAAGACAACCGGAGTCAACCTGGAAGTCATCGCAACCTCCTCTACCTCTCTTCCTTTTCTTCCCAGCCTTTCTCCCTGTCTTTCTCCCCCCCTCCCTTTTGTTTGCCCATTTCCTACTGTCCTATACCCGATTGTTCCCACACTTTCCCTGTACCCCACGAAGTCTAAATTTTATATGCATTGGAAAAACTAATAAAAATAATTTTAAAAACTCTGGCATAGACACTGAGAACTGGGAAGCCCTGGCACTTGAGCACTTTAGCGCTCCAGCTGGAGGTCAGGTGTGACCAGCAGTGCTGTAGAATTCAAAGAGGCACAAATAGAGGGCAAAAGAGAGAAACATGCCAAGGAAGGCACGTCAAGCCAACCCCGACCGGGACCGCCTTCCACCTGGAAACCGATGCCCTCACTGCGGTAGAACATGCAAGAATAGGGCTCCACAGTCACCTACGGACCCACCGCCAGTACACCGATCTTGGAAGACAATCCTACTCAGACAACAAGGGATTGCCTAAGTGAAGTGACAATGATATCTCCATAAATTGCACCCATGCCCATCAAGTTTCATGACATTTGGCCTAATACAAGAAATTAGTCAAATGTCATGCTTAGCTGTTCCTAAAATCAACTTTGGCTTCTCTAGTCAGAATTCTGCTTCTAGGGTTTTACCAGCTAGGTGTTGTCCAGCAAGATAGACAGGTCCAGATCCTGATTTAAGCCTGAATGTCACAGGAGGAGTCAATTCAAGCCCAGCCAATGAAACCTGGAAAGTACATAAATTCATATTCTGAGATTATGCTTTATTACACATTTCATAGTTGAATATCCTGATAAGTCAGAACAGCTGGAAATTATTGCTTAGCATATTTTTTTCTTCTGCCAAAGCAATAAACAAGCCTTGATATTTATTTATTTACCGCATTTATATACCGCCTTTCTCAGCCTCAGGCGACTCAAGGCGGTTCACAGTCGGCAGCGATTCGATGCCATAGCAATCATAAAAATACTTAGAACAGTTATAAAAACAATTAAAACTTTTACAATCTGATATAAAAAACAATACAGCTTGTAAAACAAAATCCTTGGTGTCTGCTTACTAAAATCATTGTCCAATTGCATCATCGGTCATTCTATATACTCATTTTTGTCTAATTATGCTCCAGTAGTAAAAGCTTGCTCGAAGAGCCAGGTCTTAACCTTTTTGCGGAATGTCAGAAAGGACATTATATCCCTGGGAAGGGCGTTCCATAGCTGAGGGGCCACCACTGAGAAGGTCCTGTTTCTCGTCCCCGCCAAATGCATTTGTGAGGAAGGCGGGATCAAGAGCAGGGCCTCCCCAGATTATCTTATATCCCTAGGAAGGGCGTTCCATAGCCAAGGGGCCACCACTGAGAAGGTCCTGTCTCTCGTCCCCTCCAAATGCATCTGTGAGGAAGGCGGGATCGAAAGCAGGGCCTCCCCAGATTATCTTCTATCCCTGGGAAGGGCATTCCATAGCCGAGGGGGCCACCACTGAGAAGGTCCTGTCTCTCGTCCCCTACAAATGCATCTGTGAGGAAGGCGGGATCAAGAGCAGGGCCTCCTCAGATGATCTTATATCCCTGGGAAGGGCATTCCATAGCCAAGGAGCCACCACTGAGAAGGTCCTGTCTCTCATCCCCACCAAATGTATCTGTGAGAAAGGTGGGATCGAGAGCAGGGCCTCTCCAGATTATCTTATATCCCTGGTAAGGGCGTTCCATAGCCGAGGGGCCACCACTGAGAAGTTCATGTCTCTCGTCCCTGCCAAACGCAACTGCAAGGAAGGTGGGATCGAGAGCAGGGCCTCTCCAGATTAACTTATATCCCTGGGAAGGGTGTTCCATAGCTGAGGGGCCACCACTGAGAAGGTCCTGTTTCTCGTCCCCGCCAAATGCATCTGCGAGGAAGGCAGGATCGAGAGCAGGGCCTCCCCAGATTATCTTATATCCCTGGGAAGGGCATTCCATAGCCGAGGGGCCACCACTGAGAAGGTCCTGTCTCTCATCCCCGCCAAATGCATCTGCGAGGAAGGCGGGATCGAGAGCAGGGCCTTCCCAGATGATCTTAAGGTCCTAGATGGTTCATAAGGAGAGATACGTTGGGATAGGTATGTTCAGATAGTAACCTCTTTCTGATTTCTACATAATTTTCTCCAAAACTGACATCTCTGGTTTCTTCCTCTACTAACAAGCCAAGAACAAACTCTGAATGACTTCTTAGGAAGAAAACAAGTTGAGAAATATGGTTGACACAATAACTATAAAAGAAACATGACTGAGATTCCCCGGTTTGCTTAGGGAAAGGAACAAAGCATCCTGTTTGCTCATCTATATAAATAAAAATGTAATGTTTGTTTGTGGGATTAACATAACTCAAAAACCATTGGACAAATTGACACCAAATTTGGACACAATACACCTATCAGGCCAACAAGTGACCATCAGTCATAAAAACACTGAAAAACACAGAACAGACTTAAAAAGCCAAAAGCAAAAAACAAAAAATACATTACAACACATGCGCAAAACCACATATATATGCACAAACACATATACACAAATATATACACACACAAAACACATATACACAGACTGGGCCACAAAAAGTGTGGCAGGGGACGACTAATTAATAAGTAGCTCAGTAGGACTGACTTATTGTGACATAAAGATGCAGCCAGTGATTTGCTATATAAATTCTAGTGACTATGAAAACACAGTCTTCCCTTGCCAAGTGAGATTATCTAATTCAGTACGTCCCATCAGATAATTTGGGAAATTCAAATAGTGTGAGGCAACAAGGCACTTACCGTTGGGAGCACAGAAAGTTTCAAGGTTGCTATGTGCACCGGAGTCGTGTTCTTGCTACCTTTCGGCGGTACAATCTCCACAACATTGAATTCATCTTTGGCATTTTCCCCTAGAGAGATCTTTGGAGAGAAAAATAGAATCATAGAGTTGGAAGAGATTACAAGGGTCATCCAATCCAACCCCCTGCTATTCACAATGAAAGCACTCATAACAGCGTTCTACAACATCAAAACAAATTATAGTTTTAATACTTTTTTACACAGAGCTAAGTTGGGAGTCATTGGCAGAACTCCTGGCAGTTTTGCCGTCTACCCATAACTCTTCATATTTTATGACTAGCTATCCCCTGCCATGTGTTGCTGTAGCCCAGTCTCGTGAGCTGGAAAATAAAGTAATGAGAATGTGTTGATTTCTAATAAATGTAATGTCTTGATGCTTGTGGGCTGTTTCTTTCTCGGTGTTGATGTGGAGACTGTCTGGTTTGCCTACTCTGGAACATGTAACATATAATTGTTCTTCTTTAGGGGTCCCTTTCACATCTATGATACTATATCTGGGTGTGTGAATCATATCTATCTATCTATATCTATGGCAGGATGGCTCTTTGTCAGGAGGGCTTTGATTATGTTTTCTTGCCCTGGTGAAGGGAGTTGGACTGGACAGCCTTAATAACTTTCTGTTGGTCCTGGGGGTTCTGTGTGGGAAGTTTGCCCCCCAATCCTGTTGTTGATGGGATTTGGAATGCTCTTTGATGGTAAGTGAACTATAAATCCCAGTAACTTCAACTCCCAAATGTCAAGGCCTATTTCCCCCAAATTCCATCTGTGTTCATATTTGGGCATATGGAGTATTCTTGCCAAGTTTGGTCCAGATCCATCATTGTTTGAGTCCACAGTGCTCTCTGGATGTAGGTGAACTACAACTCCAAAACTCAAGGTCAATGCCCACCAAACCCTTCTAGGATTCTCTGTTGGTTATGGGAGTTCTGTGTGCCAAGTTTGGTTCAATTCCATCGTTGGTGGAGTTCAGAATATTCTTTGATTGTAAGTTAACTATAAATCACAGCAACTACACCTCCCAAATGACAAAATTAATTTTTGAGTGATGGTCAGGTCACTCCTTGGGTTAGTAGGCATCTTTGGCCAAATTTGGCGGCAATTTCGTCCAGTGGTTTTTGAGTTATGTTAATCCGACAAATGAACATTACATTTTTATATATATAGATAGCATTGAATCTAGCAATCAGCTCTGGGAAATACCAATGAGTGAGGACCCCAAATGTGAGATATGGGACTGGTCAATTTTTTAAACTGAGATGGAGTTTATCATCCCTCCCCTACTTCGCATCATCATCAATCTGATAGCCACATGTGCTTCCATTCATTTTTTCAGCAGCTATGGTACAGAGCTATGTTACAGCTATGGGAGCCCCCGGTGGTGCAGTGGGTTAGACTGTTGAGCTCCTGAACTGGCTTATCAAAAGGTCAGTGGTTCAAATCCAGGAAGTGGGGTGAGCTCCCACTGTTAGCCCCAGCTTCTGCCAACCTAGCAGTTAGAAAACATGCAAATGGGAGTAGATGAACCATCTAGGACCTTAAAATCATCTGAGGAGGCCCTGCTCTCGTTATTGCCTTTGTCAAAAGTACGTTTGGCAGAGACAAGAGATCGGGTCTTCTCGGTGGTGTAACACCCTCCCTATAGATATTACATTTTTGAACAAGCGTTTGCAAATGCACAGTAACTGACACAGGAAAATGGGACTAGACAATGAGTCCGGACAACATTTTTAACAAGGAGACACTGTGAATTTATATTTTATGGATTTGTTTAGTTTTTATTATATATGTTTTTAATTGTATTAATGACATTGTAAGCATTACATTTTGCCCTCTTAACTACCTTGAGTTGCCTACGGGCTGAGAAAGGCGGTATACAAATACAGTAAATAAATAAATAAATACATAAATATACAATAAATAAATAGATCCATAGGTACCGCTCTGATGGAAAGGTAACGGCGGTCCATGCAGTCATGCCAGCCACATGACCTTGGAGACGTCTACAGACAACGCCGGCTCTTCGGCTTAGAAATGATCAAAATCCCCAGAGTCAGACACAACTAATGTCAAGGGGAAAACTTTACCTTTTTATAGTACTGAAGATGTGGTTGACCTAATAATAATAGCCAGTGGATATTCCAGCATCCATATAGCATATGGATGCTGGAAGCCACAGCCCAAGAAGTTTGGAAAGACCGCATGTGCTTTCCCTACATCAACAATCACCCTATCCAGTCTTACTAGTTCAGAAAATGTATGCAGGATCAATTTCAGGCAGGATCAATTTCAGTAAAAAGTAGGACGAGTAGTGTTAGAAACTGGACCAAAGAAACCATAATCCAGAGTTTCTTCTACAAGAGTCTATGGGACATTGTATTGTCGAAGGCTTTCATGGCTGGAATCACTAGGTTCTTGTAGGTTTTTTCGGGCTATAGGGCCATGTTTATTTATTTATTTACTCCTTTTGTATACCGCCTATATCAGCCAGAAAAGGCTGACGTTTCGCCTGCATCTATGGCAAGCATATGGCTACCTCTGAGGATGCTTGCCATAGATGCAGGCGAAATGTCAGGAGAAATGCCTCTAGAACATGGCCCTATAGCCCGAAAAAACCTCTATGGGACATGTTATTAAATTTTGCCTCTTTTCCACGTGACCAAACCAAGGTGCTCAGAGGTCCTAGATGAAAAAGCTAGTCTTATTCTTCTTCAAAAGGAAATGCAATCCCATTTTTCATACTTAGTTCTGCAATCAAAACACAACCTTTTCTCTTACATGCCTGATATTTTCTCCTGGCCAGAAACTCATCGTCTTAATCATAAGATAATAGCAAGTTAAATACCGTTTTTAGATCTAGCTGCTGCTCGTATGACCAGTCGTCTGGGGAATCATATGTGACGGAAGGGTTCTTGCTGTTCAGTTGGCATCCTACAAGTATATATATAAATATAGATCAAGCAGATGTGATAAAGTTACCTGACCATCTTTCCCTCTCACCCAGAAGTTGTCAGCCTAGCTTGGAAAAGTTCCTTTTCTTTTTAACAGCTGACATAATTTTTAAGTCAGCACAGTCACTGGTTTTGGAACTGCAATGCAAAGGGTAACTTTTCCACGCTTTGGATTTCTTACCCCAGATTAGATTGATGAGTCTGCTTGATGATGAGTTTTCAGAGGTGACGGAACTGCTTTCCAGAGCCATTGTTTCAAACAGGATTCTTCTCTAAATAAATAGCACGGTGAAACATGTACATTTCTGACAGCAATGAAGTCAAAACTTACAACTCAGGCTCTCAGCGTTTAAGAAACGGTGCCAGCCTTCCTTTCAGCTTCCTCACCTGGTGATCTCATTTGTCTCAGACCTTACTCTAACACACCATTTCTCAACCTTGGGGGTCAGGACACCTAGGGGCATCACAAAGGGGATCAGACAGGTCGCCAAAGATCATCAGAAAACACAGTATTTTCTGTTGGTCATGGGGGTTCTGTGTGGAAAGTTTGGCCCAATGTATTGTTGGTGGGGTTCAGAATGCTCTTTGATTGTATGTGAACTATAAATCCCAGTAACTACAACTCCCAAATCTCAAGGTCTATTTCCCCCAAAATCCACCAATGTTCACATTTGGTCATATTGAGTATTTGTGCCAAGTTTGGTCCAGATTCATCATTGTTTGAATCCACAGCACTCTCTGGACAGGCCCGTAGCCAGGATTTTGATTGGGGGGGGGGTGAGTTTGATTCGGGGGGGGGCTGAGTCTGAGTGAAAGAGGGTCTACCCTAGCAAACCTTTTGTATTGTTACCCCAATACCCCCATGCATATGGGATATATTGAGTATGGTGATCAGATCATGATATGAATAAACATAACAGTTTAAATAATGCACCAGTAAGGCCTTCTCGTGGACCACCATGAGAATTTGGGGGGGGGGGTGAAGCCCCTCAAGGCCCCCCCCCCCCCCCGGCTACATACCTGTCTCTGGATGTAGGTGAACTACAACTACAAAACTCAATGTCAATGCCCACCAAACCCTTCCAATATTTTCTATTGGTCATGGAAGTTCTGTGTACCAGGTTTGGTTCAATTCCATCATTGGTGACGTTCAGAATGCTCTTTGATTGTAGGTGAACTATAGATCCCAGCAACTACAACTCCCAAATGTCAAGGTCTGTTTTCCCCAAAATCCACCAGTATTCACATTTGGGCATATTGAGTAATCGTGCCAAGTTTGGTCCAGATCCATCATTGTTTGAGTCCACAGTGCTCTCTGGATGTAGGTGAACTACAACTCCAAAACTCAAGGTCAATGCCCACCAGATCTTTCCAGTATTTTTTATTTCCCATTTCTGTGTGCCAAGTTTGACTCAATTCCATCTTTGGTGGCAATCAGAATGCTCTTTGATTGTAAATCCCTGCAACTACAACTCCCAAATGACAAAATCAATACCTCCCCTCCCCCAACCCCACTAGTATTCTAATTTGGGCGTATTGGGTATTTGTGCCAAATTTGGTCCAGTGAATGAAAATACATCCTGCATATCAGATATGTACGTTTTGATTCATAACAGTAGCAAAATCACAGTTGTGAAGTAGCAACTAAAATAATTTTATGGTTGGGGGTCACCACAACATGAAGGACTGGATTAAGGGGTTGTAGTATTAGGAAGGTTGAGAACCACTGCTCTAACAAGAGAACTGCTTGTGGATATCTCTTCATTAACTTCATTCAGAGCTGTTTTTGGAAACTACAAAGTTTACATACATTTGTGCAAGGAGCAGCTGGAGGGTTTTAGAAACTATCCTTCTACAAAGTAACGATGCCAAGCTCATATCCTCCAACAAATGTCAACCATGGCACATGTGCTCAAGCAAGAATGGAATACAGTCAAGATGGCAAAGGTTATTAAAAGGGAAGGATACAGAAGCCAGAAGAGTTTGCCCCTCCTCTCCTTATCAAACATTGAGATAATAGAATAGTTTTGCATTCTGAACTGAGTTTTAGCAATTCAAAAACAAATGGAGGACAGGGTGTAAGAGAGATATTGGAACATTGTAAAAGCAGCTGAAGAAGTGGCATTCTCTTTAATAAAATATGCCTCAAATATACTTGAGATAATATTAACGTTTTAAATACCTTGCAGGTGAATACTCCATTGATAAAGAACCTTACGATATTATTACCAAAGATAGCACCACAAGACAAGCATCCTGAGCTCTGAGGATTACCTGGAAAGGAATACCACTGGAGCATTGCAGCACACCCAGATACTAGGCTTGGGCGGTTTCGTTCGTTAATTTCGTAATTTGTTATTAATTCATATTTAAATTAGCTTACGATCCAATATTGAGCCATGCAGGAATAGTGTGAGGAGAAAATTAGATTCGAAACAATTTTTTCAATTTATTTCGTAATTATTTTGTAATTATTTTGTAATTATTTCGTAATTATTTTGTAATTATTTCGTAATTATTTCGTAATTATTTTCGCATGTCTGGTGCAAGTTTTATAGTTGTTGTTTGTTTTATCACACCAACAGTCAACAACAGAGGGAGAGGGAAGCTTCAGAAGTTCCCCCTGTCCCATTTGGAGGTTTTTTTTAGCATATTGCGCAATCGCGTCCGCCATTAATGAATCGATTCGTAATTTTATTTCAAATTTTTTAAAAGGAAAATTACAGAATTATTAAAAAAAACGAAACGCAAGGGCCCCCTAAAAACAAAACGAGTTTAGAACCAAATTTTTCCGTGGTTACCCAAGCCTACCAGATACCTGGGAGTCACTCTGGACCGTTCTCTGACCTACAAGAAGCACTGCCTGAACATCAAGCAAAAAGTGGGCGCTAGAAATAATATCATACGAAAGCTGACTGGTACAACCTGAGGATCACAACCAGATACAGTGAAGACATCTGCGCTTGCGCTAAGCTACTCTGCTGCTATGCATGCCCAGTGTGGAAAACACCTCACCACGCTAAAACAGTGGATGTGGCTCTTAATGAGACATGCCGCATTATCAAGGGGTGTCTGCGCCCTACACCACTGGAGAAATTACACTGTCTAGCCGGTATTGCACCACCTGACATCTGCCGGAAAGTAGCAACCAATAGTGAAAGGACCAAGGCAGAGACATCTCCAGCTCATCCCCTGTTTGGGTATCAGCCAGCACGTCAATGACTTAAATCAAGAAATAGTTTTCTAAGATCTACAGAGACACTCACTGGAACACCTCAGCAAGCGAGAGTCCAAAAGTGGCAGGCTCAAACCCAGAACCTCAATCAATGGCTGATACCAAATGAGAGACTCCCCCTGGGCACACAGAAAACTGGGCGACTTGGAAGGCGCTGAACAGACTGCGCTCTGGCACCACGAGATGCAGAGCCAACTTTAAGAAATGGGGCTACAAAGTGGAATCCACGACATGCGAGTGTGGAGAAGAGCAAACCACAGACCACCTGCTGCAATGCAACCTGAGCCCTGCCACATGCACAAAGGAGGATCTTCTTGCGGCAACACCAGATGCACTCCAAGTGGCCAGTTACTGGTCAAAAGACATTTAATAGAATACCAAGTCTGCAAATTGTGTGGTTTGTTTGTTTGTTTGTCTGTTTTTAATGCAATACAACTGTTTTGGTTCGCTCCTGACATGATAAATAAATTAAACCACAAGATGCAGAGCCAAGCTTAAGAAATGGGGCCACAAAGTAGAGTCCAAGACATGCAGAGAAGAGCAAACCACAGACCATCTGCTGCAATGCAACCTGAGCCCTGCCACATGCACAATGGAGGACCTTCTCATAGCGACACCAGAGGCACTCCAAGTGGCTGGCTTCTGGCCAAAGGACATTTAGTATAATGTCAAGTTTTAAACAAATGCTACGTTCAGCAAAGGACAAGAGGGATCCTCTCACCTCTGCAGGAGTCTACCGTATACCATGCAGCTGTGGACAAGTCTACATAGGGACCACCAAACGCAGCATTGCCCAAACACGAATCAAGGAACATGAAAGGCACTGCAGACTACTTCAACCAGAGAAGTCAGCCATAGCAGAACACCTGATGAACCAACCTGGACACAGCATATTATTTGAGAACACAGAAATGCTGGACCACTCTCACAACCACCATGTCAGACTACACAGAGAAGCCATTGAAATCCACAAGCATGTGGACAATTTCAACAGAAAGGAGGAAACCATGAAAATGAACAAAATCTGGCTACCAGTATTAAAAAAAACTCTAAAATTACAACAGCAAAACAGCAGAGAGGAAACAACCAGGCACATCTTAACACCTCTCAACAAAAGATTTCCCAGGCTCAGGCAGGCCTTCAAATGCTAATGAAGGTGGTCAGTTGAAACATTCACACCTAGCTCTAGCAGAGAAGAGCTCTTTGCCCCACCCTAGCCATTCCACAGATATATAAACCCATTGTCCTATTTTCAACAGACCTCACTACCTCTGAGGATGCTTGCCATAGATGCAGGCGAAACGTCAGGAGAAATGCCTCTAGAACATGGCCATATAGCCCGAAAAAACCCACAAGAACTTAGTGATTCCAGCCATGAAAGCCTTCGACAATACATTCAAGTTTTAAACTTTGTTTGTGGTTTTTTATATATTATAACTGTATTCCCAATTTGCTTCACATAATAAATAAATAAATTACCAAATATTTCAAAAAGGTAGATGTTGTCCTCGTTACACTGAGTTTATGTCCATCTTTGTGATTTACTAAAATCAGTAATTTAGCATTGTTCAAACATTTAATTCTCCTTTCCCTTTTGATTTCTTCTGCTTTTGTGCCAAGTCTTTTGCTTCTAAACCTGATGCCAAAGACATTATTAGTGCTACTGTTCCAAAGCCAGTCTTGGAGTGTTTATTCACTGAAGAGCGGAGCATTAAAATCTTTAAAAGGTTGCTATCCTTAAATACAGAGGATGCCACAGTCCAACCCTTCCCTCTTTTCTTAGATTCTAACCAAGTCAAAGCTGTTTAACAAACTCACCACACTCTTTTCTTTTCAGAAACAACATCCCAGTGAAAGGTGAATTAGGTTTTATACAAGGGCAACTCCTGTTGGGATCAATCAATTCAAATCTAGCACCAGAGGCAAACTGCTAATCTTAAAGAGAACCGGCCTTTTATTCTCAAAGGAAGTAGATGGCCTGGAATGTGGCCCCAACAATAAGTATTTCCAAACTCA